CGCCTTCCAATCATCAGTTACGATGATATTTCCCTTCGCCACCCAATTTCTTATAACGGAAATCAGGACCGTCCAGATCCTATCGTTAACATGCCCAGTGGGAGCCTTCTTTCGTTTCGTATCATACATGCCGACCAGCCACTATTGCCTCATGAGTCTGCCGACGTTGTACGCTGGGCAGCTGATGAGAGTTTAGTCAACGTACACTTCCACTCCGGCACCTCCAATCTGACATTTCGTCAGACTGTGTCCCACTGGCAGCCGGTGTTTGGTACACTTCAACGTCTTTTTAACACTTAGTGCTCCTTGTTCTTTGCGAAAATGCTAGCCAAATCTTCATGATTGTTCCGATTGACAAGCGGCTTTCTCAAACACCGAGCAAGTTGTAAGTGCTTTCGTTTTCTGTATCGGGCACACCGGAATACGTAGCCGTCCGTGTTCTGCTTCGTAATTTGCAGCCGCATTTGTATATATATATATATATATATATATATATATATATATGTTGAGAAGATGATACCGACAAAGACAAGGGAGACCGGAATGGCCATTTCTGGCTTATTAGCCGTCATCAGCCAGTCATACCCAACCCCAAGTGTGGATCACTTGAGATTCGAACCCGGGATCTTTGGTCATGGAGTTGAACGCTCTACCATTGAGCCACGGGCCCGTTGTCCTGTCGGTTGTGATCGGGAATATTAATTATGATAGTGGGCGCTCACCGATCAGGTTACGGAACATGCTCGTTCCGTTGTGCCTTGGGGCTCATACTTAAACCCTCGCAGGCAGTCGCACAGCGACTAGTGATATATGTTGAGAAGATGATACCGACTGGAATGGCCATTTCTGGCTTATTAGCCGTCGTCAGCCAGCCATACCCAAGCCCGAAGTGTGGAACACCCGAGCCTCGAACTCGCGACCTGTTGGTTTAGAAGTCAACGCCTCTACTCACCGGGCCACGAGCCCGTTGCCTTGTCGGTTTTCGATCGGGAATATACAATGTTAGGGGGGCGCTCACCGATCGTTCATACGGAACTCACTCGTTCCGTTGTGCCTTAAGGGCTCTCTCTCGAGCCCAACCAGCAGCCGCACAGCGGCGCAGATACAGGTCTGCTAAGGTCTCTGATGATGGATTCGAGTAAGGATCCGAAACGTCAGGCAAATAAATTTCTTGTTCCGGTGATCGCATCTTCATCTTCTGAATCTTCTCGGACTTTACAATTTTCCCTGCTTCTTCAGTTTCTGTACGTCGACCTGTGTGTGGTGGTGTAATTTTCCTGTTTGCTGTGGCTGATGGTTTGCTATTTTAGGAAAAATATAATAACTTAAAAATGCTCTTCTCCAATATATATTTCCCATTTACACTGCCGTCTTTGCTTATGTTCTTCGGATTTTTCAATATCTGCATATATACAATGTCAGTTACCCCTTCTCAGATTATGTTTCTGTAAATTTACCTTTTAAACATGTTCCTGCACTTTTCATCTGGTATTTTTAGTAGCGTACGACGGTATTTGTTAATACACACATTACTCAGGTTTCGAGCTGCATTCTGAGACTGGCTGATTTGCGTCCCCTATCGTGCATTGACAACTCAAACGCGTACACCAGAAACAGTCGGGGTGAAGACCTCACTTATCGTTCGTCGTTCTTATGGGCTGGAATCGCGTCGGCTGCCCGACTGGATGCGAACTCACCATCGGCGGCTTATTCAAAGTGCATTATTTTTCAAAAATTACTTTTGTTTATTTTTCGATTATCGCGCCAACTTTCCGTTGCTATGAAGCAGCCCATCTTAGGTTTTACGTCCGAAATTCAGTTATGTCCTGCGATTCCTTGAATTTAACCTTCTATCCTACGCGCGTGCTGCCTCACCCGTAAATCCCCCACTACCACCATTCCCGTAAGACACGGACCACTGGCCAACGTCCTATCTCGGGGTCCTACAACCTATCGTTGCCGTTTTCTCCTTCACGACATAGCTATTCTTCCAGAGTCACTGTGCTACCCAGTAAGACAAAACAGTTTAGCTGACTATCGAGATGTGAGATAGAGGCAAAGCCAAGCTCGGAATACGATATGATTGGGTTAACATAGAATCCCTTTTAAATCTGGCTGGAATAATAAGGAGAAATTGGTGAGCATCGATGGACTCCCGGTTTCGGCCGTCTAGTGATAAAAATGCTGCCTGATTACGGAGGCCTATTTATTTGTGCACGTCGTTACCAGTCTTCATTCTTTTTATTTTTGCAACTTGGATTTGAATTTAAGGCAACCATCTGTACAATGTGCAGACTGCCAAAATACATTGGTGAATGGAAATCATTAAAGAGACCACTTAAATTGAGTTGTGCCACGATTTGGGGGGGGGGCGTCCTCTTCATTGGCGAAAAGTTAGTTAGGCGGATGACTCGCGTTTTCGACTGAAAATGGTTGACAAATGATTTCAGCTTCGGTTTTCGAAGAGCCAACTGCTCTGCGAGAGAACGAGTGCCTTGGTCATACAAATTGATCCAGGTTTCATCCGCATTTGCGCAACTGCCGAGACTCCAGCACATATATAATTTGAGCTTATTGGAGTTGCTGTAGTCGTATATACTTCCAGTACTTTCAAGACTACCAAGACAGACTTTCTGAAATGACAATACACCGGCTTGTCGATGATGCACATTTCAAGATTTTAAAAGCTCCCATAGCATCAGATGTTTTCATTGACCGAATTGAAGTTTTGGTTGCGGCCCAATTGAGCACTGCAAATGCAGACGTTTCATCAGCACAGCTTATGTGTGTCTGTAACCAAAATAATCGAAGACCAACCCCATTCGGTTAGATCGCTGTTGGTAGCCAGGAATGGGGAGGCAAACAGTCAGGTCCCTGTCGAACGGGAATGGTTAGAAAGGGAGTTATATGGGTGGGGTAAATGGAAGGGCTGGCAGAGGAATGCTGGGGATTCTGCGTAAACGCAAAGTTGACATTGAAAGTGCTGGGAAGTTTTAAGAAGGTGGAATATTGGCAGAAATGTAAACACTACGCTTAACCATAAAATCCCACAATGACCGCAACTGTAAAGCCCAACAATAAGCCTAAAAACCGAAACGTAAACCAAATCCAAAAACTCAAGGCTAACCCAAAACCTAGCCACAACCTTAACCCTAGGCTTGACTCTAACCCTAACCTTAAGCATTGCCTTAACCCCAACCCTAACCCTAAACTTAAACCTAACCTCAGCCCTAACTCTAACCCTAAACTTAACCCTAATCCTAACCTTAACCCTAACGCTAACATTAACCTTAACCGTAACCCTAACACAGAAACCTGACCCTAAAGCGCAAACCCTAATCATAAAACTCAACCTACGCCTTACGCTAACCCTCACTAAACCCAACAGTCTGACCGAAAAGGGGGACCTGCCTAAATCAGTAAGAGCACACCTACTGATAACAAGTTCCCTAGACAAGGTAAGCACACCTACTGACAACAATTACGTATGTCGACAGTATCAACGTATAATGTCTGGCTACCAACTGCGATCTTACCTCCTATTCCTTATTGACAACATAGAAAGACCATTTGGAATCCTGATTCCATTTAAGGGGGAGTTTGTCTGATATTAATAAATGAGCTACTATACCAACTGGATAGTTCGTTTACGTAGTTTTGAGAAGGCTGGTCAAAGGTATGACGAATTCATAGATGTTTTGGCAGATTTCATATTGACCCAACTGTGAAAAACTCGGTGCTTCGGTGGGATTCGAACCCACGACAACAAGGGAAGGCTTTGGTACAGCCAACACTGTAGCTCTCTGAGCTACGAGGCCGCACCGGAAGACGTAATTTTAATCAAATTTAGGTCAAGTAACCCGTCCAGCCTACTGCTACATCTGGAATCCGTCAAATCCGATGCAGTAAACTTACTGCCCAAGCAGGATTTCTTACACATCCACCTTGAGTCGGTCAGGCTCATGTACTTTATAGATGTTTTGGCAGATTTGCTTGGGCAGTCAGCTTACCGTATCAGATTTGGTGGATTCCAGATTTTGCAGTTGGCTGAGCGGATTACTTGACCCAAACGTGAGTAAACGCACGTCTTCCGGTGCGACCTCGTAGCTCATGTGGTTAGAGCGTTGGCTATACTAAAGCCTCCCCTTGCTGTCATGGTTTTAGTCCCTACCGAGGCGCCAAGTTTTCCACAGTTGGGTCACTATTAAGTAAGACGAATTAAAAGATTACGCTTACCAGTTCATTTTTGTCGATCTGGCATGGCCCACTGGGGTGGGGGGGGGGGGTTCATTTTTGACCAACAGTGCATTAGAACCAGCCCGAAACTGCAGTTTCTGGCCATAAAACATGTTTTTTTTCGGTAAGATGTGGTTTGGAAACCCCACCTGATGGACAAAATACTGTTGAACTTAGATGTTGAGGGCTAGGGTTGGGGGTTATGCTTGGAAGTTAGGGGTTATGGTTAGGGGTTAGAGTTACAGGTTAGGGTTGGGGTTGGGGTTTAGGATAAGGGGCCATAGCTAGGGGTTAGGGTTAGGGCTAGGCGTTAACGCAACTATTTCTCAACCATTGAAAGTAGAACCACACACTCCCAATAGCTTTTTTTCATACAACTACTTGACCTCGTCGCCTGTGCGTTCCCCGGCTCCACTCGTAAAAACCCCTATTTTACCACCGGTCCAGTATTAGAGGTGACTGAGGTTTGTTTACTTCAGGTGGGGCTACGAAACCACAACCGACCGTTTGTTCATATTGTCAAATCGCGTGTCTTATATCAAGACGAAAAATTAGGCCTTTTCTTATATCTTAGCAAGTGATTAGTCGTGTTTACAAATGACTAAATATGCAGGGTTGCTGTATGACCAAGTTCTTACAAAGTGTACACCGATACTTGGTCCATGTAAGGAGATTCTAAAAATCCAAAAATCCATAAAGCAAATGTCCCACTTCGGCCAATCGTTGCCCTAAAAGGCAGTCCCACCTACAATTTGGCAAAGTGGATGTACTCAAAACTGAAGTTCCTCCAAGGCGATTCGACTACCTCAGTTCGATCAGCCTCTCAATTCCTCATAGACCTCCGAGGTCGGAGAATTCAATCGGACGAAATCATGGTCTCCTTCGATGTGACGTCGTTATTCACATCTATCCCACCAAACGTGGCCCGCGAAGTCTTGCGCAAGAGACTTGAAGAGGCGTACGATGAGACTCAGAATGCCCTCAACATTGAACACCTCATGAGGCTGTTTGAATTCTGCCAACAAACTTTCTTCACTTTTGCGGGAGAGATCTATGAACAAATCAAGGGAACCCCAATGGGCTCACCGGTCTCCGGTTTGGTGGCAGAACTGGTCCTACAGGAGTTGGAAAAGATTGCCTTCCTCCAACATGAACCGGTGTTTTGGCGACGTTACGTTGACGACACGTTCGTCATCGTAAAGAAGGACATGCTGCAACATTTTCACAGCCTGCTCAACGCAGTCTTCCCGGATATAAAATTCACGAGAGAAGAAGAACAGGAGCAGCAGTTGCCCTTCCTGGATGTGCTCGTCAGACGAAACCTTAACGGTGAACTTGAAACGACGGTTTATAGGAAGGCAACGAACACCACACAGCTTCTCAGTTTTCACAGCAACCATCCGGTGGCTCACAAACGAAGCTGTGTGAAGACGCTCTTCAAACGGATCCAAACTCATTGCAGCAAACTGGAAGATAGAGCGCGTGAGTCCCGTTATCTCCGCGACCAGTTTGTGCAAAATGGCTATCCGAGGGCATTCATAAGTCGCTGCCTACGCGGTCGCCACCAGAGAACTCAAACACCAACGCCACCGACGATGTGGCATTCTCTGCCATACATCAAGGGTGTTTCAGAAGCGACCGAGCGCATTGCTGCGGAGCTAGGGGTTGGAATCGCACACCGCCCCAAAGCCACCATGCGCAACAGGGTCATGAAGATCAAAGACCGGTTAAAACCTGAAGAGCAATCTGGAGTAGTGTATCGCATTCCGTGTCAAAATTGTCCTTGTAATTACACAGGACAGACTGGACGCATGCTCGGATCGCGCATACATGAACATAAGCTGGCTGTGCGGCGAGGCGACGCATTATCACAAGTGGCCGCCCACACCTACGAAATGGGTCACGAGTTTGACTTCGCAGCCACCAAAATAGTTGCCCACGCCGGAAACAAAACAGGCCGAGAATTGATTGAAGCCTGGGCCACGGATGAGAACTCGGTCAATCGATTTATCGATCTGGCGCCGGCGTACAGAGCCCTTCGTAGTCACCTCCAGTCGTGCGACGTCGGTCGATGATTGGGTCTACGTGCCTTATAACTGCCGCTTGTCCTGTTTCTGCCACTACCTCTGACGATGGACTCCTGTACGAGTCTGAAAGCTCAGGATAATAAACGAATTGTTCCGGTGCTCGACTCTTCTTCTTCTTCAAATATGTATACACCTGGAACTCGAAATTTCGCCTTCATTCGAGATTCTAAATGTGTCCTAGCTTTCGTTGTGCGCATTTGGATCCACAAGGCAATTCGCAGTCAAGTCGACTGGTATAACGCGAAGCGGAGAAGGAGACACGATCACTGAAACAAGTGCTTTATAGGCCTGACGTTTCGGACGCAAAGCCACCGTTCAGGGAGTCCACACGCACGTACGACCATACCCAATGACTCATGCAGCCCTGTCAATGCATGTCTAGTCGACCCCTTTTGTCAAATGTAATAACTATATACACACAGGTTGGGACGCTCAACTCCCCCGAACAATACGTCAGCGTTTCCAGGTCCACATCACAATTAATATTCCATTCACATGAAAGACGAAATATGGGTTTATTCCGTTACGTACGTAAACTCCTCGCCTAGAAGGTGTGCAAACGGCCACGTCAAAACTAACACTTAACAATCTAAAAACGCTCAAAAACGGAAACGGCTATTTTCATTTCATTGAAACTCGTAGGCTAGTCCCATTTCAATGCGAACTGCCGGCGCAAATACAATCTGAACCGACAGCTCGACCATCGCTAACAATGATGTCCAACATGTGCCCCAGTGCGCGGGCTTTCGCGAAAATGGACTGCTCGGATCACGTCTCATTGGGAACGCCTTGGGGGCCATATTCAAAGGGGGGGGGCATCAGTCTGATTTTCAGTCCTGAGAGGACCGACTTACCCATTAGCAGCTATTCAAGACACGCCAGTTAGCGTGTGGAGATAGATTCAAACACATCGGGTTTATTATAGGAAATGTGCTCTGATGTGCCTTGGAGATGAATTCCCCAGAGTCGGCTTCACTCTCACTTCCTTCTCACGTGCGCCGGTCGACCTCCCGTTCCTGTCAGCCAACCGGTATTGGGATCGGCTGCAGAGGCTGGCGCAGCGTGATGCCTCGCCTCAGCCTGCCACTGTACCCTAGATACGTGGCCTCCTATGGACTGTTCATGGTTTGATTAACGCGTGCGCTGTTAGCCAATCTGGCCCTCATTTTCGTCCTGTGTATCAAAAACGGTGCTCGTATTTGGGGGCCATGTAGTTTGAACCAGGGTTCAGTGATCAAACAATCTCGACGCCTGAATTACTTTGACGTCAAGCCGCTGGGCCAGATTTGCGTGGGAAACTGCTAAATGTGACTTGATTACGTTCGTGTGTAGAGTTTGAAGGACAAAGAGAAAATCGTGGGTCGAAAGTATTTTCTGAAGAAGTTAACACCAGTTTGTACCATCTACTCCTTCACAAACTTGGCAGCTTCGAGTTGCAACCCAAAATTTTACATGAATAAAGTAGGCCTAGTGTGTAACAAAATGTACGAAATCGTGCTGACTCTGCTTCTCTGACAAGGCGTCGAAAATTTCGAATGGAAATTTGTCAGAAATGTGAATTAATACAACGGCGACGTTTGACCAATCCATGGCAAACAGACATCCAAACCACGTTCCAGCGTCTGCGCCTTCTGCTTGCCGGTTCAACTCAAGTCAGCATTCCGCAAATATACTCATGGGACTACGTGTTACAACAATGAAGACACACATCTCAGCTGATCATAGACACATGGGTCACATCTAACAACAACTCTTAAATTCTACCTTTCGAGCGGCGGAACAAGCGAACCAAGCCACTCCTAGCGGTCCCCTCATTACAGCCTTGTGAGATAGTATGCAATTCGGTAACAGTTACTTTTTCTCAAGAAACCGCCGTTTTATGACCGGAAACACATCAAATGACAGTCAACTATTCACATTGATTGTAACATCGTCTTAAATGTCCTTCTTAAAAACCTAGTCTTTGGATGTCTCCATGGCATCCGCGGCATCTCTGGCAGTACGAATGGCTCAGGTGCTCCTTGAATATGGAAACGGCAGCATCCCAGAAAACACTAACTTCTTCCAGCCGTTGGCAGAACCTCTCATTCGCGTGCCCTCCCTTCCGAGCATCACCTTCAGCATCGGACGAAAGGGGAAAAGTTTCTTTGACTACTACGACTTCTACCTTTTCGGTATCAGACATGACTTCCTTTTCAACACAAACAGGAACGTGACCACAGCACGGTGGGATGAGATCTACCAGCTCGAGGCTCTGATCCTGGAGGGCACAAACATCGTTCAGGAGGTGAGCCGAAAACAATGGCCTGGTAATGGCTCAGGACCAAGTGTGAATTACTGCATGCTGGTGGTCTGCGAGACCGGTAAGTCTTCTTAAATTGAGCTTCCCTTCAACTATCCAGTTAGGACGGGGCATTTTTTGGGACGCAGTACTTGACCATTTCTATACTCCTTCGTCAAATAGACCACAAAAGATAGAGTAGGTGGTATTATGTGTGGCTGTGCTACATCCCCTTGCATCACGAGCAAATAGGAGCATTATGCTGCTGCATGCGCCAAAATCGACAGACAAAATAGGACTAAACTTAGTAAGTTTAACAAAAGATTTGCTGCTAACTCTTGCTGTATGTGAGATGCCGCCAATGAAGGGATCCTGGCTGGATTAAACTCTTCACTGAGCATCCAATTCCTCCTAGGCGGATGTCTTGCTGAAGTTCACATGTCACCTTATCCACAACAATACAGACGGAGATTTCTCCCGTTTATTTTACATACAGACTCTCTGGCACCCTCTGAACATATTTATGACATTAAAAGACTGACTATCTTCCTTATAGGTAACTCGACGGTAGTGATTTTCGTAATCCTGGCTGAATTCATATCAGCTATCATCGTTTATTTGGTCGTTGAAATTACTTTTCGGTAAGCAAAGGTATCTGCACTGACCAAGCTTAATTAAATGCAACTTTTTTGATAAAGTACACAGAAATTTCCAAGTATATATAATCAGTTTATAAAAGCCTCGGAACCATATCTGTTGAGTATGACCTTTGGGCAGCTCCTATTCCGGGCTGCGCGAGGGATCTAGCCACGGCTTCGGAAACCCCTTTCATGTACGAAATGCTCCGCCACGATGTCGGCTGACTATGCTCTTCATTCCGCTTCCCTTATCTGCCTTCGGCTTCGTACACAACTTCGTTTGTGTTGCAGTGGGTGGAATGGGAGTTGCCCAAAGGTCACACTCAACAATCCGCCGGCAAGCTATACGGCCAAAAGACCTGATCCCTAAGCGGGGATGTCGGCCGTTGTCTACATACTTCAGTACAGCTGCGGGATGTGCATCTGCGTTGGGAAACCGACTGACGGCTGCAAACGTGAATGCAAAAGCACGTGCGAAGGTTGGACCCAAAGTCGGAGGCAGAAACCCATGCCGCGCAAATGGGACACATCTTCAACTTTGGCGTCGTTGAGATTGTGGGCCGGAGCGATGATCATACGGCAAAGCAGGTGCAAAAAGCCTGTATGTCCATCGACTGCTCTGTCAACCGCCACATCAATTTGCCTCCCCCCTCCCCTATCTGGTTTTACGAACCATCCTAACGGGAGGAGGGGCAGTCACGGCGTGGGACAATCGCGGCCGACGAGGGCGGGGTCGATTCAGGTCACGGTGACATGCCGGTCGGATGCAGCCACTCAGGCGCCAGTGACGGACCACGCATCAAACAAAGCGTGCCATACAAGGGGAGTTGTGCTCATGACACCACACTCTCTGCAGAGATGGGTAGACGAAGGGACTACTCGAAACGTCAGACCTCTAATAAACCCTCCCCAGTGAACGACTCCCCTTCATTTAAAATTAACAATGTTTTGGGCTTTTGCAACTGGTCATCAAGCGGCAGAAAACCCAAAAATACTCTCAACAACTAGGTACCTGACGCTTTTCGACATCCATTATCGAGTGACTGATGTTCTAATAGTGCACGACTGGCTAGGTTTCTACAGGGTAATCTCGAACTGTTTCATTGTGGCCCATTTTGACTCATAATGGAATTATTGCGGCGTTCTTCAAGGCTAAACACAGCTATACAGATATAACTTTGATGGGCCGGATCAGACATCTGGAAACCCATTTTTGGTTTGCGTCTTAGAGTTGCATTAAAATCAAAAGTGACTCTTTTGCACACTTATTGGTTTGCACCTTTTCCCTCGCTCCCCAGAATAAACGTTTAATATCACCCGCCCTTTTACTTTTACACATCAAGAAGACGTCAGGAAACTTTACGGCTGCGCAAGGGAATGAACAAGCTAATTCTCTATCCGGATGACATTGAGCCCATGAAGAAATCAAAAAATGACGAGGTGCTTCAACACTGTTTTACTCTATTTGCGACACCAAACTGTTTACTTGCTTCACCTTTGTGTGATTTAACCTGTGTGCATTGTTTTCGTCCGACATTCGAAAAGTAGCCCACAATCTAGCAAAACGTGCCAAACATAAGTTTATCAATCTTTCACCTTTATGTTGTTCTACTATGGGGTTTGAACTTTCAAAAACGAAGTATACCGAGCGTTAGAGAGAGAGAGGGCAATTACCGTCCGAATGTTAATTTGTGTTTAAGTTCGATGGTATCTTCTGATAATGTCCGCATGATTCACGGCCTTACAAGCGAGACAAGATATTTGCACCTCCGAAAGTGCGCCAGAAATGGTTGATAACTGGTATTGAGCGATCACAAGCTGGTCTGCTCAATACGGAATTAATGCTCCTTTTTCAGACAGTGAAGACTGAAGCGTATGAACTGCGCTAGCACTCGCTAATTTCCGGCCTACGACTTCTAATCCAAGAGCACTAGCCGCACCCTATGAATGGCCTTTGTGAATGTTAAGGCGGGTTTGTCCCCTACCTCTTACCATCTCTCCTGAAGGAAAAGCATAACCTTGATCATTTTGCCGTTCTATGAACTTTAATTTTTGCATGGTTTGTTTATACCGGTATTCTCATTGCAAGTGGGGTTATTCTTTGTCTCTTGGGTTCCAAATCCCTAAGGCCAGACTTGGATCTCGGTTAACTTTAGGGTATCTGAATCTGCTTCAGAGTGTTTAACACATCTTGTTTGCATAAGATACGCATAACAGACGATGGCAAACCGGACAGGGTGCACCTTTGAGGTGTTCTGTGCGATAACAAGCACAGCGTGTTCGTTTTTTTGTAGTCGGTACAAGGGAGGTCCAAATTTGCCACCAATTTTTTGCCACCTACTGCTGTCCATGAACACAGCAGTCCTTATCGCATCCCATTCACTTTTTTGGCAAGACTGGGTTGTTTCCTAACTGTTCACGAATATGTAACATTTACGAATGATAGTGCTGCGAGCTTCAAAAGATCAGCACTAACCGAATTTCCGTCCGGTGATTAAGTGTGCACTGCATTGTTAACCACCTCCTCTATGCTGTAAAGCATTACCCGTTACTACACACCTTATCTTCAGAGTACAGTTGGTCCGCAGATTCCATCCCAGGCCTCCTCCTGTGCAGACTTAAGCAACAGCGATCTGTCCAACAGAGAGGACACACGGAATGCGTACTCGGCAGCAACCTCCGTCTTCCGAACTTTTGAAAATACTGCCGTTTTCAATGTGAGTTCCCATTCGTCAAGGAGCCACACCTAAATGTATCCCTTCAGCAAACAAGGATGCTTGTTGTTGCTATTCAGCCCTGTGTGAACGCAGGTTTATAGGCTTGCTTAATTGCCAGACCCTAGCTGGAAGTTTGGACCACACTGATTTCAAGTGAGGTTGCGATGATCGCCACCCACTTCAGGCCGCGGTCCTAAACTGCAGATCACCGGGATGAACCTGAGAGTGAAAACTTCCCATTAATAAGTTTAACAACTAGTCGACAGAAAATGATGGCGTGTGGATATCCCATAAGCCACGATCATGTTCATTCCAGGCCAATGATCCGTCGCGGTTTGGCTTGTCTGTTAGTAACACTGGTAGGCGACAGTAGGCAAGTGCAAATTAACAGGATCTCGTTTGACAAGGTCTCATGTCAATTATTCTTACCTGGAACGCTCGCATGACCTGGAGACTATGGTGTATAAGGGAGCCTGAGCAAGGACACCTACAGCAGATACCCCCCTCCAGCCGCAGGCCCTCCAACGTCGCGTGGACTGTGGTGATTGGAATGGTCTCCGCAGGGACTGCATCTCTTAGGTTTCGAGCTTTGGGTTACCTACTCCTACCCCCTCCCCGAACGTCCTCTGTAGCTCAACCATAGTCTTGTCATAACTGTGACTAGGCCAAACCAAAACCGAGGGGAACGGAGACCAAGCGTATTTTAGGGGGGTGGGGGGTAGGCGAGTGACATCAGATCGCCCTTGATCATATCTTGCAGGTTTTTATCTGCGCACGTGCATTTTTGCGTCTATCGACGAAAGCCTGTCAAACCAGTATAAAGCGACTGGATGCGGTCACTTTCTAAATCACTGTTTATTCCGGCGCTATGGATGCTCGAGAGGATGCGATATAGTGTCAGCTCCATATATGCATACACATGCATTGACAAATGGACATCCCAATAAGTTTACTTCGAAGCAGACAGAGTTCATCAAAGCTAACGTAAATCTTATTGCGAAAATGTTATAAACTGGTTACCCAGCTCGTCGTTCAACGAAAAACTACTTCTGAGTTAGGACCACCCGGACGTCAAAAACAACTGGCTGACGGACTTCCACTCATGTGAAGAATGTATCCGAGCTCTTCGGAAGACAGCTAAGAAAGCACCAGACACAGGTCGTGGAGAAACTTTCAAGTAATTTGGGCCCCCAATCTACATACTCTAAAGTCAGGGTTTATTATTTCAATAGGAGAAATGTCTACAAAATCCAATGTATACCCCGCGATAGGATATATTTCGACCAAAACGTGAAATCTGTCCACAACAATGCACGAGCACAAATTACCGTTGAGGTGACTAAACGAACCATCTAAGGTCATCATGTACACGACAGTTCGACCGCGTATCCAGCGATGTCCACAGTGTGCTCCACAGCAAGGTGAAACGGGGACGGTGTCTTGCGCGTGATTCAGTTTATAGTGTTAGCAGACTTGAGCAACATCTACCGCACTCTCTCCTACCCCTCCCCCCACCTGGACCCGGTGTCAAAACATAGTCAAGATGACCGGAAACGGGGGAGGACGCAGGTGGATGGCACGCTCGAGTCCCTATCTTGGTGCTCCACCCCAATCACCCTGTTCCACAGGATTTCGACCAACAAAAACAAAAGGGACTGACACGACAGTAGTCGCACCTAGGCATTCCGTAACACCTGGCTAGGATCCCACGGAGTGAAAGCGCCATAACGGGCACACTATGAAGGAGCCATTGCAGTCTGACTCATAGACCACCAGTCGGCCACTCCACACAAGCACACACACAACTGGACAGACTGAGTGGGCTGAGTTAGGGTGTCGGTCAGCATCCTTTCAAGCCACGGCGCTTAACGCGCCATGATAGTCTCAGACACCGATCACACATGCAGCAGAGGAGCCGCATGGACACGGAATCGAGACGCACACTTCCCACATGCATGGGAGGTGGCGATTGAATGCTTATGGTGGGTGATGGTGTTGAGTGATGTTGGTGGGGTAGATGTGGTGGTGTGGTTTAGTCGGCAGTTGTCTGCCGAAAGTTTTCATGAATGCGCATGTGGCCTTATAAGCCCATGGGTTGGGCGAACGCTCGGGTGCGGTGAGGACAGTTAGGCGAATGCCGTGAGTGTACGTTGGTGCTCCATGCACTGGTTCGTCAGTCTCTGTGCGATGGATTCCTAAGTGACCGACCAGACCGATGCGTGAGGTGAATGCACGGGGACATCGTGGGCAGGAAAAGTCGGCGGTGCCAGTGTCGGTTTTGGAGTTGGTGATAGTGGTGGAGCTGCTGATAGTAGACGCGCTGGGCGGCGAGGAGTGAGTTGAGCTAGGCATGGTGGGTGTGCAAGAGGTGCTAGGTGTGTCGAGACTGCGGTCAGTTTCGGTCTCGCGGGTACGCATTTGACAGAATAGGCTAACGCGGTGAGTGAATGTGCGTGGGCAGTGTTGACAGTGAAGGCGAATGCGATGAGCGTAGGCTGGTGCCCCAAGCATCGATTCGTCAGTCACTGTGCGATGGATTCGCAAGTGATCAGCCAGGGCGATGTGTGAGGTGAAGGTGCGGTCGCAATGAGGACAGATATGGGCCGAGTCCAAATCGCTGGAATTTATGGTGGGGGTGTTGATGTTTGTCGGTATTTATACAAGCGAATGTGCGAGTTCAAGGAACTGGTTGGTAGGAAGTAGAAACGATCGCCTGAACAAGGATTCTCATTTGAACCCGTTATCAGAGACAGTGACAGAAACGGGTCACTGTCTCTGATGACGGGTTCAAGCGAGAATGCAAAACGTCAGGCGAGTAAAGTCCCCGTTTGTCGGTGTGTCAGGATTGTGTGCAGTAGTGGTGGGTACAGGGGCCGCCGTAAGGGATGTTGAGGCAAAGGGGAGGGGGTGGTGAGGAAGAAGAAGAAGAAGAAGAAGAAGATGATGATGATGATGATGATGATGATGATGATGATGATGATGATGATGAT